CTTTTTTCAGAACCTTATTCCACTCCTCATATATTAGTCTGGATATTTGCAGTATACTTGGTTACCCTACCCAAGAACATGTAAAATCATTAGCTGATGAATATCAACCATACCTTTGTACATTTACCGCATCAATTCTTGTTATATGCAAACCTATCTCTACCATGAATCGTTTCTCAGTCCATAAGATGATTGTCGTAACGCAACCTTCGTAACTTGCGCCAATTATTCGCATTGAACATTCCATCTTTAAGAAAACAATGAATCTTGTGAAATGTTTCAGTAAATGTATACCGTTTTAAAAGAAATATGTTGTTAATCTTAACATTTTGATCTTGCCTGTAAATTGGCATGTCTCTTGTAACATGTTTGTTATTTGAGAATAAATTATTATTATTATTATTATTATTTTTCAGGGGTTGACCTTCTACCAGTAGGAACTCTTATTGACCTATAATATGCCGATGACATAGTTCTATTCGGTGGAGATGCTGACAAAATGCAGAATCTTGTGACTACCCTAAGCAACAATGCCAGCATGTTCGGGATGCGGTTCTCACCCTCGAAATGCAAAATGTTGCTTCAGGATTGGGTTGCGTCGGCACCTGAAATATTGATAGTGAGTGAAGCATTTTCATCAGCCTGGTGACTGACGAAAGCTCATCACGGATACAGAAGGCTCGATTGGCTTTTTCCGACTTGCTTCATTTATGGCGTAAGCGAGATATTCGTTTGCAGAATAAAGGACAAGTGTACTGCGCAGTAGTTCGCTTCATCCTACTATATGGTTGTGAAACATGGCCGGTAAGAGTAGAAGATATTTGTAGGTTACTTGTTTACGATCATAGATGTCTCCGAACCTTTTTTCGTGTATCGTAGAAAAGCGGAGTAAGCAGTGCTGTTGTTAGGAAACAGGTACTGCGTAAGGTTGGTAGGTCAACAGATGAAGTAGTGAAGCTTCATCATTTAGAGTGGTTGGGCCATGTGTTACATATGCCTAACCACCGACTGCCTCGACGAGCTATGTTTTGTGGTGTAGGATTAGGTTGGGTGAAAGCTAGAGGTGGCCAAACCAAAACATTGCCGAAATCCATGAACTCGCTGACAAGAGGATTGAGTGATGTTGGCGGATGTAGTCTACCGTGGGGTCGGCGAGATAATAGTAATCGACTGTTAGAAACCGTGAATGACATGGCTCAAAATCATCTGCAGTGGTTCAGATGCGTTCATCCTTTGTGTTCTTTCAAATCCTAAACTTTTTAATCCCTCATCACTTTTACTTTTTAGGTTTATCTTAATAGATCCTACTTCTTGAATAATATCTTCGAACCCTAATCTCTCCGATTACTGGTAATACTTTTACTACGTCTACCACAGTGATATTTGAATTGACGATTGCATGTTTGTGCTAATGTGGTATAGCAACTTGGACTGATGTACTTACGTAAGTACAAAGTTCTACGTTGCTGTTGTTTGGTCTATTGATACGATTCGCTATTCCTAATTTGCTAAAAACTTCATATACTTTAATGAGTTGCTGGTTAAAGTTGTTGATGGAAGTTAATCAGATTTACACGGAACAGCACACATCTAGAACTTTCTCCTGATTAAAGTGATCACAGCCCTTTCACTGTGTAGCTTCAAGAAGAGAATTGATAACACTTTTTACTCAAGGATTATCATCTCTCATTCACATTAGCTGTGCCTGCAGCACGTCGCGAAATTTGACTGGGTTTAGTGCAATCAAGTAGCCATAGTGCCACCGACTGGACTTCCCATAATAATTGGAACAGTACTATCGACTGAATACTATCAAATATTTGGAACTGTACCGAAAAAACAAATAGTGAGTGTGGAAAATCAGTTGGTTTATAAAAGCTCGTGAAAAAATTTAGATTTTGGAAGAAGCATCACTACCAACGCAATCAAAGGTAATGGAAGGGCCAGTGAAAGAGTAGATAAGGGCTACATGCATAAGAACAAAATACTCCATGAAGCTCAGCAGGGGTTTTGGAAAGACAGATTGAGAACATCCAAGCTTATCACAGTATGGGACGGTTGGACATCCTGCTTGGACCGAAAAAAATTGATGCACATAATATTTCTTGATTTACAAAAGCCTTTGACACAACACACCAAGCATGCTTAATCGCGAAGGTTGCGGAAATGAGACTCACTGACTCACTCGTATCTTGGCTCAGAAACTACAATAAGAATACAAAGTTTCGCACCTAGGTAGATAGATTGAACGTGAGTTGGCGAGTCTCAAAATCGGGAGATTCACTGGAGACCATCTTAGGTCCACTTTTCTCCATGATATTCTTTAACAACCTTTTAGACAAAGGTAGCTCGGCGGCATGGATCTACGCAGACGATGTAAAGGTCTGGAGGTCCCTTACAAGCGAAGCATCAAAATGTCCCTACACCCACTGATGAATGAACAGTGATATACGTTTTAAAACTAAATTCGTCGAAATGTCACGTCAAGTACATTCTGCCTAACGTAACGCGAACGACTTGCATCCTCAACAGAAGCCCTCTCCGTAATGTCTTCTCAGAGAGCGATCTAGGTTCAACAACCACTGAAAGCCTCCACACCAATTCTGACTATATAGAAGATGCAAACAAGGCTTATAGAGCTCTTCAATTTATGTGAAGACAACTTGATGTTATAACCATAGAATTTGTCTTAACGTTGTTCAAGCCATATGGGCGTCCACAACGTTGTAGCACCCCATCTCTACTGAAGAGACATAAATTTCTTGGAACGTGTGGAGAGGCGAGCAACGAAATGGGTGGCAGAGTTAAAAAAAACCTAAAAGACAAACTCCAACATTTGAGACTGTTCCCCCTGAACTACACGAGAATCAGAGGTGATATGATTATGACATACATCATATGAAGCATGCCGAACTATCGCAGCCTGAGCACCTTACTGATGCATCACCACCACTCCGCTTAAGGTTATCTTCGAAAAATTGAGCATTAAGAAGCGAACACTCAGTTTCGTACACACGTTTTCTCACTAGGATTAGCTGTAATATCAAATGCTCCTCTTGCCGAAGTGACCACAGCCTTCTCATGGGACAGCTTTAAGGAGAGACTCGATACACACGTACTCACATACGAATTATCGCCTCCTTCGTGGACAAGCTGTGTCTGATGCATGCCTTAAGACTGGTTAGCCTTTATTACTGCCATCTCCATAGATTTCTAACCTAATCTATTCCACCTATTATCTCTGTTTCCTCTCCCTTGCTTACACTTCGGTCCTCTCGCACAATCTTCAATAACAACTAATAAAATAAATTATTTATTTATTTATTTACTTTACTTTGAAGTCCTCTGACCTGGTAACATGATAGCTGCTGGTATCCTAAAGCCCTACTACACTGAGACGAAAGTACTCATTTAAATCACGGGACGTATAAACTTACATAGAACTACCAACTGACTAGAATTAGTGTAATCGAGTGCCTATACCTCATTCATTAGACCCTGCCAAACCCCTGGAACCGTATCGAGAAATCAACTGGTTTATACTTGGTCGTGAAAATTATATTGGATATTGAATATTTTCGTAAGAGTGGTGACCTTGTTACACGTTCAAAACTTTATTGTAACAACTGGTTTCGATTCTTTTTATTTGGTTTCTTTCTGTTGATTTCTCCAATAAATGTAAGCGCATTCTGTGTGCTTATTTAACCGTCGGCTCACCTTTCTCTTTCGTTTTTTTGCCTATTTGAGATAACCCCACACGCTGTTCCACATACCCCTAGCACACAAGGTATCCCCAGGCTAATCGCAAACTAACCAAAAGCTGAAGTGGCATGCTTAACGAGCGCTTGCGTCAGGTTAAAGCGATTTTCTGCATGATATGAACATTTTACTTAGCGAATCACAGAAAGTGTCCCGTTTGATTTCAGAATTTTAACGGTCTTATTATTTGCCGGCGAGTATGTATTGGTGTTAAGTATATAAAGTGGTTACTAAGACATCAGTTTACTATAGGTTTAGCGGTTTTATGCATTCCTAATAGGACTTGATACTAATGGTTACTCTTTTGCCACTAGTCATATACACTTCAAACTGATTTCTTTCACCGGAACAAATCTGGTGACATTGTTCTTCACTTCAATTTCGACAAAGTAAAAATACTAAAGGCCACTGCATAATTTCATCCGGGTGAGACGCGGACAGGTTTTAAATTCAACGTCTCACTGAGTAGCAAACTACTCATATCAAGCATATGCCAAACTACTTCAGATCTGGCACTCATGTTTAGCAGGTAGTATAAAATGCTTACAGTAGATGATCTGCCTCATCTACCTAAACTAAAAATTTTCTAAACTACTGCAGAATGCAGCCAGATATTCAGTTTGTGATGTGTTAGGGATAAAATACCGTACAAACTTTGTGCTTCATACTAAAATTCCGTGTGATTCGGTGCTGTTCGAAAGTATCTAGAGTTTATTACTTCATAAATAAATAGGAAAAAAACCAGTCCTCCGTCGTTTTTCAACCTTTTAAAGTTTGGTAATATACTCACTTTGTGCAAATGTCCTCAATCAGAGATGCAAGTTACCGCAGTTAGTACTTACGGTAACTTTTGAGACGCCACTAGGGCTGTGTCAAGGTATAAGTTTCACTTAAGGCTAGTAATTCAAGTCATCAGATGAGGATAAATAAATTAGTTCAGCCTATCCAACGAGTTTCCCACTCTGAAAACATGTGTGTTTTTTATATTTATTTCGTTACAAGCTTTCGGATCCACTCTAAGCGTTGATTAAATTGAGCAACCGTCAAGACATTTAAATTCATGTCTTTTAGGACCTCACTTTACCTAAGTATTCGCTTTTTATCAAATCCGTTCAGTTTTTATAAGTTCGAGATGATTATCGTTGTAACCAGGTTTTTACATATCTCGGTGGTGTTCAAAATACCGATTAATATTTGTATCGCTTTTTTACAGCTACTTTTTTCTCAGTTGAGTCTTAATAATGACCGAACGCAAAGTTCTAAATGTACGTTTAGTGTAGCTACACTGATGCTCATAAATTATAGAAATACTTCCCTCCAGATTATGACCCTTCAAAAATACCCCGTCTCAGACGAGGTGACAGACGTAAACAATTTAATATTCGGACGATGGCTCCATTTAATATGAGGTAATAATCTGTTTACAGTAATATTATTCGCTTTAGATGCAATACATGCAACGGATATATATACAAAGCCAAAAAATTCAATTCACGAATGGAAACTGCAGAAAATGTAGACTACTTAGGTCTAAGACATTATCGATTTTACATCCGATGTCCCATATGCTGTGCTGAAATTATTTGGCGCGTAAGCTCTTTGGATTTTTCTTTACGAAAATTTTTGTTCATAGACTGATTTAGAAAGTGGCGATTACGTTCTAGAAAGTGGAGCAAAAAGGAACTTCGAAGCCTTAAAAACAGCAGAAGAACTGGAAGCTAAACGTCAAGCTGAAGAGGAAGAAGAACTTGCCAACAATCCAATGAAATTACTAGAAAAAAGAACTGACCAAAGCAAACAAGAAATGGAAATGGTAGAAGTGATAGAAGATTTAAAGCAGTTAAATCAACGTCAAGCCACCATGGAAGCAGACCATGTTCTTTTAAGGCAAATGTGGCGAGAAGAAGAAGCTATCAAAGAGGCTGAAAAAGAAGCAGATGAAGCACTAATTAAGTGAGCTATTTTTATTTTCATCATATTTTATTTTCAAAGGGAATTACTTGCTTCAAAATCTGAACAAGTCCATTCGTTAACATCGGATTCAGGAGGTGGAAGTTGTTCTAAACCGATCAAAATACCAGGTTGATGAAGTCTTATCTAATTGTTTATATTTTTATAGCGATGAAGGATTTAATGAAAGATACTAAAAAGGAACCAGTTGAAGTAAGCAAAATACATTTTAATGTTCCGCAAGAATTTTGTATCTAAGTTTCATGTGATTGTCATGTTTCGTCGCTAAATATTATTTTCCATTGGATCTAGTTAATCTCTCAAATGAAAACATCAAGTCCTCTGAAAATGCTGTTTACTTGGATGTATTGCTAAAATGACTGTCTTTAACTCTAGAACTGACGATGTGCAACTTTTACTGACTGTACAGCATAATTGTGTAGTAGTTTTTACTACTAGGAATAATGTGGTCCGTCAGTAAATTAAATGCGTAAATTACATTCTGTCATCACGAGTATTGCTTTAAAAACTTATCCAAGTGTTTATCAAACTAATTTGAAGACCAAAATGTTAGTAGTTTAAAGGAAAATAACAAATAAACTAACTGGCTGTACTGCAAACAATCTGAGGCCCTATTGATTTAGTTTGCCGACCATAGATTACAGTTATCACCCGCAATCCAACTAGAGGATCTTCACCTTAATACATCTGAGACCAATGGTCATTCACTATGATCTGATACCAATCAGTATCTGTAGTCTTCATATCCCAAGTTGCACAAAAGTACCATTAGTTACTGAGTTGTATCAACTTAACTTATTATTATTGGACAGTTGATAAACATTTTTGACCTGAATATCACTTAGTAGTAGTAGTGTAGTGAAAGAGAACACAGGTGGGGTAACCGAATTGTATTTAACGAAAATTACAGAGTTACTCAGTAAAATCGGAAAACCATATCGTAAATCGTTCATTTGCAAAATATCAGTTCATCATATCGAACTGGACTGTTCATGTTGCAAAACATCAATCCAATGTCACTATTCATGCGTTTCATACAAATTCCATTGTTTTCTAACTCTTCCTTTCTTGATCTTCCCCCATCTTCGGCTGCCAGACATTACGTTGACGCTCACGTCATATACTACTTATAAGTGGCTCGCACCACAGCACCACAGTAGTTGTAGGTATACCTATAATTTTATCAGATGCTATGGGATAAAAATCTATCTTAAAACATACTGATTTGCTTATGCTTATTCTATTTTAGACGATATAAAACTATATAACTCCCATTTACTTCCCTTTAAACTACTCAGATATTGTCAAGTTTTTAACTATAAACTGATCTTCAACACTACTATATACTCATACCCTGTAAGCAAACTGAAATATAAGATTTTATTAAATTACCTAATACTCCCAATATTTACTATTTCTCCTTTTTCATAGACTGGGAAATCTTATCTTAAACGACAACTTCAAGGTGTTTTACTGGTGCAAAAAAAGTCAGTGTCAGAAACTAAAATTCCAAAGCTTGATGATCATTCTAAAGGGTCAACCATGAATAATAATAATAATAATAATAATAATAATAATAACATAAATATTTCCAATTCTTCAACAAATAATTCATTAAAAAATAATAATAATAACAAATCAGAAGATAATAATATCAATCAACAGGTGTCACATACTGATGGTGTTGTTAATAACAATGATGATAGTATTCAACCACATCAACTCTTACCTGGGATGGTTTATTCAGATCATAGTGATAGTGATTGAGTGAGGAAAAAAAACAACTGTAAATAATTGATGCATCTCTTCTCATCTTGTACATTGTTTTAAAAAAGCTTTCCTAAAATGATATACATATTTTTTATTTTTCTTGGTTTTTTTATCATGACACTATGCAGCTTGCCTTCAGTGAGTATATCAGTTTTTTATTGTCAATTATGGTTATTACACTTAGTAAAGTAGTTGGGCAGCATATGTAGCTAATCAGTGATCAACCTCTTATGCACTATTTTTTTGGGCATTGTTTATTTAGTTAATATAAACAGGATTGCTAAAACGTCAATAATTAGAAATGTGATATGGTTCAACGTTTAATCACAGTAGTGTGAATACATTCACTGTACCATTTTGTTCACCGAATCTTAGTCATCTTGCTACATTTGATTAGTATGACATTTCAGCTCAATTTCCTGCTTTTTTTTTAATTTCATTTATTATGCTTCCAGTGATGTCGAGTTCTCCTAACCCATTTTGTTACATTAGATAACAACTTGAATCAGCAAACTTTTGTGCTAAATTTTATTTTATTATATTTCTGTCTGATTTAAGAATCCATTAGTTAGGTGTATTCGATAGCTGTTATTCTCAGTAAATTTTCGTTAAAAGAATGGTTTATGCTGAACATCGACAGCATACTTGAATTAGATACTTTTGAGCTCATGCAGTCATTAGAGAAGACAAAGAATAGATGCATCTGCGCCATTGCAAACGATTTTGAGCCATTTCATTCAAGGTCTCTAACTATTGATTACTATAATATCGCGGACTCCAGCCACTTAGTATACACCTACCAACATGACTCAATCCACTTGTCAGTGACTTCATTGATTTCTGCCATGTTCTGGTTTGGCTCCTCCTAGCTTTCTTCCAACCTACTCCTACACCACAAAGCATCGCTCGTCTAGGCAGTTGGTGGTTGGGCATAAATAACACATATCCTAACCATCTCAATTGATGAAGTTTCAATACTTATCGATCTGCGATACTTAACTGTTACTCGTTTTCGAACGACAGCATTGCTTACTCGGTTGACCCACGATACAAGATCAATGCTTCGAAGACACCGGTGATCAAATAACAGTAGCCTGCGAACATCCTCTGCTTTTACTGGTAATGTTTCACAGCCATAAGTAGGACGGAGGGAACTGCTACTCAGCAGACTCGTTCTTTGGTTAGCAAATGGATATTTCGTCTACGCCATAAGTGACACAAGTTGGCAAAAGCCGATCAAGCCTTCTGTATCCGCACAGAGGTTTCGTTAGTCACCAGGCCATCAGCACTGATGAGACATCCAAATTAAGTGAAACGGTCAGCATGTTCGACTACTTCACTCTCTATCACTAGTTCAGATACCGACGCAATCTAATCTTGAAGTAACATTTTTCATTTCGACGGGGGACCCGTATCCTGTATTGTTGCTTAAAGTGGTCAGAAGATTTCATTTTGTCAGCGTGCTAAAGTGGAACTATGTTATTGGCATATTCTAAGTTAACAAGCGAGTCTCCTGGTAGAAGTTCAACTCCTGAAAAGTCAGGTGATGGAAGTGTTATCTCTATAAATAAGTCTATGACAAAGTTGAGTGATTATGAAGAGGATTGAATAACCTTGACGTACACCACTCGACATAATCGATTTCGATGACAGTCTGCCATAAGCTCTCACTCGACCAGTAGTGTTCGAGTAGAGAGCTTGTACACGGTTAACGTACTTTGGTACTGTCAGGGACTGCGCTTCAGATTTCATATAACTTTTTCAACTTCATTAAGTTTCGGAGGACTTACTTCATTTTTCCATTCAGATTGAATGGAGATCGTGGGTAATCGAAGTGTGGCTGAACGTCGACTGAACTGCTTCCTAAAGTGTTCTGCCCATCGATCCAATCTCCTGGATTGAGAATGAATAATAAGTCCATCCTTTTCCGGGATAGTCTCGCTAATTGTTGGATTTCTAATTCCGGTTTCCTTGATTAGTCTGAATAGTTGTCTACTGTTGCCTATCGCTGCTGTCTTTTCCATCACTCTTGCTTTCGCTACCCACCACTGTTCGCAATCATTGCGTAGGCTTCTTATCAGGCTGCACTTAAGCTGATTTTGCCCTTCGTCATGTTCAGAGCCAGACGGGATGAGTTTCCGAGTATCTATCAGTTCTGTAGATGCTACTGAGATGCACTGCTTAAACCTAACCCTATGGTTTACCTGACTAGCTGGTATCACTGCTGTTTTCGCCGCTTTTTGGATATCGTTCCAAGCTCTTTCGGGATGGGAATCACTTACACGTCGCCTAGCCGTTTTTTAGTTGTTCCTGAAATATATTTTTAGCTTTGTTATCATTAAGTAGAACTGTAAGAGGTTTCTTTGCAGTGTCTTTCCTACGTTCAGTAATGATGATATCCTCGAACCCTAATCTCTCCGATTATTCCTGTTACTTCTGCTACCCCTACTACTATGGGATTTGAAGTGACAATTGCGTCTCTGTGTTAATATCGTATGGCAACCTATACTGATGTACGTTGTAACTGACTGACTGACTGGAGCCGTGAACAAATACATGCTCGCACTAGAGCATTATCTGAATCTAACCATGTGCTCCAGAATGAGCAACAGTCTTCTATCGAGCCTTTCCATCGGTGGTAGATAGCGATGTGATGTAGTTGGAGCGATTGTTGGGACGACTTTGGGGATCGCCATGTCAAAAGATGTTTGTCGCTGTGCTTAAAGTACTTGCAAGAAATAGGCGGTTATCTAAACATAGTTGCAGCAGACGATCGCCATAACCTGTTCTGTGAGTCACAACATTGTAAGACCCACCCAGTTTTCTTTCAGTTTCGTTTAGTCTACCTACTTGAGCATTGAAGTCACCAGCCACTATTACTTCATCAAAGCGCCCAACTTTTTGGTTCGAATGGTTTCTGTAAAATTCATCTTTTACCGCATCTGAGCTGCAATCAGTGAGAGCGTAGGCAGAGACGATGAAGAGGCAATGGCGAGTTTCTCTGTCTTTCTGAGTCCTTACTGTTCCGTTTGGTCGAACAGCGCACAAGTGACTATCTACTGAAATCCAATCCGCCCTGAGACTCAATGTTATACCTCCACATGCGAGGCCCCGAGAATCATCAGCAGCACTTTCAGATACATGGAGCATAAATCGAGATGGTTCTTTATTTGGACAAGATGAAGTTAAATTGGTAATTCTATTCGCATCCTGTATGCGCGTTTCGGAGACGAAACATACATCGATAGCGCGAGGTTCCTGAGTCGTAGTTATAGAAGCCTGTTGTCCTATTCGGTTTAAGGTTCGAACATTAAAAGCTCCAATATGTAGTTTAGGATGGGGATTCAGGAGACCAGGAACGACGTTTGGTGAACTCAGATAGTTTGCATTAGCGGCGCTAGGTGATAAAGGAATGTGAGAATGTTTGGTCATGGAGGTAAGAGGGTTGTTAAAAAGTATGGGGGGATTGGCTTCGTGTACTCTTATGTGTGAGAGCGGATGTCATTCTGGGTTGCCCACACTGTGGAATGGTATTTCTTGAAGAACTTGAAAAAGAGGTCAGATTAGTGTTGGTATTAGAGACCTGAGAGCGTTACCGCAGAGCCCAACGGACAACTACTTGAGGCCGATCGCGCACGGACTTTTATGGGATAATTTGGAAATTTTAGCTCCGCTCTCCAAATGGCCTTACTGTCGGAGACAGAAATCTGTAATGTAAGGTGATGTGTGACATTTTGAGGGTCAACCTTTTCTAACCCGTTCCTTCCATGTGAGAAGGCAGCATCGTTGCAGATACTGGTTGTCCGAGGAAAACATCTTACTTCTGTCACACCTCTCTACAGTCAGCAGTACGACTTCGCCCTCAGACCTTGAGTAGCTGCTTTTAGTCTCATCGTTCTCCAAACCACCTGCCTGACATGGTATAACGTACAGGAACATAAATTCCAGCCAATATAGCTTGGTTGGGTTATCACTATAGGCAAGCCTGACCAGCATGTTAAGGTAGCAGCTAAAGTCGGGACCAACATTCCTTACCCAGAATTTAGTGCTATCTTTTCCCGAAATAGATTGAAAAGTATGTGGTGACAAAAAATCACTTTTATAAATGTACATTCGTCGCATCAATTTGGTTTAGCTAGTCGTTTCACAGAGATTAAAATTACTGACACGTTTAAATTTAATAACATTACTTAGTTATTTATAACTTGGAACCATCTTCAATGTATGGAACAGTCTAACGTGTATATACTGGTAATTCTAGCAGTTTTCTTCGAAATGATACTCTTCCGTTGCGTATATACCACATTATCAAAAGTATCAACCGTCCCTATTGTGTACTAACTGGAGTGGATTAACTGTAAGTTAAGTTGCAGCCTCATGTTTAAAAACAAAAAGAAGGCACTTATATAATTCTCTCTGTGAAATATCCTACTGAATGAACCTACAAAATTACAAAGAGTCAAGACAGAATCGTCCCTAAAAAGAAATAGTATGTCAGTTTTGATAAAATTCATTCAGCTCCATCCAAAACGCCACCTAGACGTGGTAATTGTAGAGAGTGACTTAGTGTAGAAGTGAGATAAGTCAATGAGAAAGACGCTTAAATAAAACCAATCGGTAACATTCGTTTAATGGTTAACAGGTGAATCCGGAATAGCCATTTATCCTTATTCTTGCCTTGTCAGTTGCATATCCGTTTATCTTAACAGTATTATCTCTAATGAAATTCAAATTTATTAATCTTGTCTTTAAATACTGAAGTATTGATCGTTAAACTACTGAGTCACACTGAGCGTACCGTGTTGATTTAACGATCAGTTGTTATAACATCAGACTGCAATTTAGGATTGAAATAATCAGTCTTATTTTTGATTTGTAAACTACTGACTGTTTTAGTTATTTTATTCTAACAATTATCCATAGAAATGAAATTTATCGATTAAACAATAAAACGACCAATTGTCTTTATCCATCATTGTATTTCATTCAACAGTCAAATTATTTCATACTCTTGTACATAAAATTTTTGTAGGATAAAAAAAAAAGTAGTCATATTTCATAGATTTCAAAAGTGTTCCATGTAATCCAATATCATTTCTGATTATTAACTATTAACATAAAAAATTATTCTTCCTCTGTCTCATCACCAATCGGATCCTTCATCTAAATGAAAAATTTGTGTATAATACGTATTAGAAATCATAAGATATATTTAAGAGGATAGTTTCATATATAGTTTTAGCAGTGAGATTGACTGAGATCTTAGGTCGAATCTCGGAATTAGGATTATTCCCGTTTGACTGGTCTCAATCAGTGATTGTCACAGTCTACAAAAAAGGACAGAAGTCCTCTTGTGACAATCACAGAGGAATCAGTCTAACTAATATAGTTTCGAAAATATAATAATCCGACGCCTAACTAGAGCTCATGAAGAGCAGACTAGAGAAAAGCAGGTTAGCTTTCGACCTGGATGTGGGTGTATAGACCAGATATTACCACTACCTCAGGTCCTAGAACATAGACACACTTTAAGACGTCCCTCATAGCAGTATATCTCGACCTAAAGGCTGCACTTGACTCTGTTGATCGTGAGGTTCTGTGGCAGTGTCTATCATTAAAAGGTGTACCTACGAAGTACACTTACCTTATACAAGCTATCTACTGGAACACCACTGGTCGAGTGATAGATTATGGTGAACTGTCTGTCTTCGAAATTGTTTATGTCGAGTGGTGTTCATCAGGGTTGTTCACTCCTCTGTTCCTACTTAATTTTGTCAGTGACGTGTTTTCAGAGACGGCACTTTCGTCGACGAAGTCACTGACAACTGGATTGAGCTGTTAGTAGTTGTTGACTACCCAGTTTTAGTGCGCTAGACAATAGTAAACGATGATTAGAAGTTTTTAGTGACATGTTTGGAAATCGTCTGCAATGGCGCAGATGCATCCACACTTTGTCTTCTCTCAAATTGTAATCTTCTGAATCCGTCATGTACTTTATCTTTCTGTTTTTAAATTTATTTCACTGGATTATAATCCTCGAATCATATCTTCGGACCCCAATATTTTTAATTACCGGCAATACTTTTATTACTTCAACCACTATGGGATTTGAATTGACAATTGCATCTCTATGCTAACGTGGTATGGCGACTTGAACCATTTTACGCCATGTTCTGGTTTGGCTCCCCCTAGCTTTCTTCCTACCTACTCCTACACCACAAAACATCGCTCGTCTAGGCAGTTGGTCGTTGGGTATACGTAAAACATGTCCTAACCACCTCAACTGATGAAGTTCTAATACTTAGTCTATTGATCTGCCATCCTTAACTATTACTCGTTTCCCAACAACAATCTTGCTTACTCGATTATCCCAGGATATGCGAGCGATGCTTCGAAGATACCGATGATAGAATACCAGTAACCGACGAATATCTTCTACTATTACTGGCCATGTTTCGCACCCATAGAGTAGGACGGAGCAAACTGCTGATCAGTACACTCGTCCTTTGGTTAGCAAACGGATAGTTCGTCTACTCCATAAGTGACGCAGAATGGCGGAAGCCAACCGAGCTTTCTGTATCCGTGCTGAGATTTCGTCAGTCACCAGGCCATTGGCGCTGATGAGACTCTCGAGATAAGTGAAGCGGTCAACACTCTCGACTACTTCCGTCCCCATCACTAGTTCAGAAGCCAACGTAATTGAATATTGAAGTAACATTTTGTATTTGGAGGGGAGAAACGTATCCCAAACATGCTTGTATTGTTGCTTAGAGTGGTCAGAAGACTTCATTTTGTCAGCATGTTATTGGCGTATTCTAAGTCAACAAGCGAGCCTCCTGGTAGAAGTTCAGCTCCTGAAAAATCAGGTGATGAAACTGTTATCCCTAAAACCATGTCAATGACAAAATTAAGTAAGAACGGAGGAGTGAACAACCCTGATGAACACCACTCGACATAATCAATTTCGATGATAGTTCACCATAAGCTATCACTCGACCAGCGGTGTTCGAGGATAGAGCTTATACAGGGCTAATGTTCTTCTTTGGTACTCCTTTCCATCACAGACACTGCTACGGAACCTCACGATCGACAGAGTCAAGTGCAACCTTTAGGTCCAGGAATACCATTATTGTTGTCCTCTTGAATGTGTCTGCGTTTAGGACCTGGTTAAGTGTGAATATACGGTCTGTAACAAACAGCGCATTGATAGTTATACCCTATGTGATTATGAAATGAACCTGATTAATGGTTTTCGTCGCAAACGAGTATTGACTACTTGATCCCAGCGTAACAATATTAAAGATGACATCATTTATTCAATTCGCGCTTCAAGAAAGTTCACGCTGCGCATTGGTGAAGAGTTCTCAGTTAGAACAATATTTTGCTTCCTCCTCACTGCAAGTTTTCAAGTTCCATTGGTGTATAACGAAACAGATAAATACTTGTGACTTCTCAGTCAGCTAATAATTGCCTGAAAGATTTGAAAATCCAGGATGCTATTAAATAATTCAAATAAACTAGCATTTCTAACTCTCAGTTCAGTTTAACCACTAAGTACATTTGACTTCCCTAAGCAGACAAGAATACATAGAAGACTATCGCTAGCGAGCTTAGGTAAGTACTCTTAACATGAATATTTCTAGGTCAAAAACTTACTTAGACACGATAGGAATTAACCCTATTAGGTGATTAATCTTATTTGTTGAGGTTACGCCCGTGTCTGCGTCTGATTTACTATGCGATCATAATATGTAATGTTCCGGTTACTATATCTTTCGGTAAAATGATCCCTAATGGTATTACACATCATGTATTATTTTTAAATAATCACCTTTATAGATGATCTGTTAAATTGCCCTATAATATTAATGATAGCATTTATTGATGAAAGTTGAATAATGTATGATCCTACATTATAAAGTACAAACCTATCACCTTGTGTTCAACAGATTGAATTGTACATAATAGCACATATCAGTACTTAAAAGTGACTGTCGTTCTCAGTGTATTTGGCTTCAAAAATTACAGCACCACATAAACTATTCATATCAAATAATGTGGAAAAATAACGAATATTACATAAAAGTATGAAAATTCGTATATGTTTAGGTAAAAAAAGAGATTAATTCGGTTACAAACCTTTCATTCATCATAATATAGGCATAAATGTTAGATTAGACTAGTTCAGCAAATTTACCTCACTGTTTGATTCGTCTTCCTCTCCTCCCGGTTTAGCTGGACCTTCATCATCAGGGTTATCCTTTCCAGTTTGTCCTTCTTCGTCATCTTCCTCTCCTTCAGGTTTTATTTTACTTTCGTCATCACGGTCACCCCTTTCAGTTTGTTCATCTTCGCCATCTTCTAGTTCTTTATCCAATGGAGATTCGTTGATATTTTCAGTCTTTTGATCGTCACTACCTGGTTCTAATTGGTCTGATTTATCTGTTAAAGCAGCACCTGCTTCTTGCATCAATGCCATTTCAGCTGCCATTAATTCTAACTGCCGATATTCATGATGTCTTTCTTGAACCACCTAGGTAAGCAATAAATTAATTGATTTGATAAGTATAAGTTAAGCCGAAATTTCTTGTTGATCTTTTTTTCAATGTAAGCTGTGATATTCTTAATAAGTCAATCCATAATATTATTATCACCGGAAAGTCTAGATTTCGTGTGGAAGGGCCCTTCTCAATCAATCAATCAATCAACAGCAACATAGGACTTTGTACATTTAGTACATCAGTTCAAGTTGCCATACTACATTAGCACAGAGATGCGATTGTCGATTGAAATCCCATGGTAGTAGAGGTAGTGAAAGTATTAGCAGTAATCGGAGAGATTAGGGTTTGAAGATAATATTCAAGAAGTATAATTCAGTGAAGTAAATTTAGAAAGAGAAAGATAAAGCTGATGAGGAATTCAGAAGGTTAGGATTTGAGAGAACACAAAGAATGATGAATGCACCTGCGCCATTGCAAACGATTTTGAGCCATGTCATTCAAGGTCTCTAACCATCTAGCGGGCACTTCTAAGGAGCTCATAATTCGGCACGGATAAGAGATCTAGTGTTTCATGATTTTCCGACCAGTGTCAGTTCATAATGAAACTTTTCCTAACACTTCATTATGTATAGTTTTTTTTAATCAGAGAAGTCGTTACTAGCAAAATACTCATTTTTAACTCGTCTAACCAAATTTTTTAACTAGTCAACAGGAAAAATTACTGTTATAAACCAGTCTATTGATAAAAAAGATTATGAATTACACAAAACTAACTTCTCTAATCATTCCATCTAATAATAACGAGGCATCATTCAATAATGCAAGTTCTTCATCAATTTCTTCCATAATCCAAGGCAAAAATCCTTCTTCCACATCTAAAATGAACCATACAAATAGGCAGATTTGTACAAAATATTGTATCTAGTAAAAGACATGAATTTTTTTTCTGCCCAATTTATCATTTGTTATATCGGAAGTAGTCACATTCTTCATTTAGACTAGACTCATTGATTGTTAGCCATGTAACTTTCCGAATTTTTAATCCTGAAGATTGGTAATACTATTTCAAGTTCACTTTGTTTTAATTTGTATGTAAATCGAACTAAATTAAATCACCAAGTATCTTTCGGTTCTCAATCCGGAAGACTGACTGAAAGAAAATGGTTCCATGCCATGTTTATTACGGGATACATATATACAGAATTTTTCCAAATCCTCAACATTATATGCAGCATGTTAGTGTGGTGTGTGCTACTTATACGAACGATATAAGTAGTATAAGAAGGGACGTGAAAGAAGAAGTTTCACGGTCAGAAGAAGAAAACGGAAAGCAAATAGAGCAAAAGCAAGAAATAAATAGAGCACCGACAGGAAGTAAAGGAAGCAACAACAGGAATGGAAGAAGGCTGGAGCGTTGGAAGTCAGGACTCAAAGATGGTGTGCAAATAGAATGTTCAATGTGATGTTTTCGTTTTTAATTGACGAAGAGTGTAAATGTTATCGCTTTGGACTGCTCAATTCACAGGGAAGCAAAATCCATAGCTATTTCAAGTTCACTTTGTTTTAATTTACAGATCTCAAATAAGTGTTTAAAATGATAATCGTACATTCGATTAGATTTATCATATTTACTGTCTTATTACAACAGCCATTTGTAAAATGAATTCCTCATATTATAAACATTTAAAAAGAAATATGGATGGAATAAAAAATACACAGTTGGAAGTAGTTATCTACAATTTTGATTTGTTTGTTAATTGAAACAAAAGCTTACGTTATTTTTCAAAAAATTTGTTTCATTTGTAAGAATGACGATTGTTAGTGTTGGGGGACGTTCGATCCCCAGTATTCACTTGATAAAAAGCCCTAGTTTGGATTTAATGTTTTCGTGCATGGGCTGTTCAGATGACCTTGAGATTAGATTTCCCACTCGGCAAATCTTTGGCTGTTATTGGTTGATGTGTTATTTCTGTACGCTAATTTTGTGTCGCTCCCGAGGACGTTTCTATCATGTATAAACAAACTCGATTTGTGTACTTGTCAACCTCATATTCTCTGGGTGCTTGTGGAATATACTTCCAATGCCTTATCAAGACTCGTTCCTCTACTTAGTGGGGTATTGGGACGCTAGGATTAGAGTGGCATATCGTGTCACTGGATCATTTGTCTTCGCTCTCGTTTACCGACTAAGGTGAACTCGTAATAGCATTCAAGCATATCATTTGACGAGCATAATATTTAGTGATTTTAAACCCTGTCATTGTTGTACTCCATTCTTCTTCCTCATCTTACCTGCATTTCTTCCCATTCGATGTTACACTGTACTACTCTCCACAATATTCAGTAATCAATTATACTTTCCATCAATTTTAAAAACAGCCTACCATACCTAATCATGTACCATTAAGCATTCATTTAAAAAATTCGTAGTATTCACTCTGTTTTATTGTAAAAGTTTTTTTCATATTTTATAATATTAGCCTTTGTCTCGATTGTTAACTGTAGACAGCTGTTAGTCACTAATCAGACATTCAAAACATCTTTCTTCCCTTCGATATAACAACACTGAAGTGTTAACCGCAACAGACACTTCACGAATTGGTTTTTATAACTATTGTACAGATATACTTTTATAGTAATAGTTCTACTTTTTAAACAATAAGTTTCGAATTTTGTTTGTTTTCGCGTTACTTTGTCATGTAGTCTGATATTTCAGCAGAAATAATGATTATAACTGTAATACTCAGTTGTAGTCTTTAGTTAGAGGTATTTATAGCGGTTCAATTGATTTGATGAAAACTTTAAGGCAACAGAACTACTAATCAACTCAATTATTTAGATGCAGTTTAGAGAATTGGAACTTTTATTTATGTTACGCATGCACGTAAACACGTTAATTTTATATGCTTGGACTATTACGAGTTTACTTTAGTCGGGAAAACGAGAGCGAGGATCCGGCAGCACGACATGCTACTCTAATCCGAGTGTCTCAACCCCCATAATGAGTAAATATATGAAGTAGAACCTGTACTCTACAAACATTTAGAAAGTACGAGGTCCGAGTCCAGAAGAGAATTAGGATCCCAGACTAGGGACCCGGGTCCGGATCTGGGTAATAAAACGTTACGGATAATGAGTATTTATGCATTTAGGTTGAATATAAAACAGCATCAAAGTCTGTGCCATTCACAGTCAGGACGATCAATAAGATACAACATTGGAGTACATGACATTAATATCTAGGACGGCCATAAAATTGACCAGTAGGAATAAACCAATAAGAATTGACCAATAATTCTCTTAGGATATTGGATGAATATCCTAACAATTTATGTAATAAATCCTTGTCAGTGCACAAAGTTCACAAGGCAATTAACTAATGATGAACCTTTACTTCAACTCATCTGAAGAGTAATCAGGCAACTTTATTATTACTAAATATATTGATTAAGATCAAGTAAATGATATTCACCTCAAAATTCCGCTCAGTTTAATTTCATTGAACTGTGTCTATCAGTGAGTCGAAGGTCAGCATGGAATTTATTTAATATCTTTTAAGGGCACTGACAATTTGTGAACACTAATAGACTCTTTCGTACTAATTTGACAGTATGCATAATTTTGCACCGATGTAATCGAAACTCGGAATTTCGGATTTTATGGTTGTCCAGTTGATGTTATAGTTTAGTTGAGTGAAAATTAACCTCGTATTGTATAACCCTCCACTACCACTACTACTCCATCACATCAGTTAATAGAAAGCTACTGAACAAAACTTGTCAGTTGTTTGACACTAATTAGAATTCGACGATGCAGATCAATGAGGATTCATGCTATTGTTCTGTTTAAGAGTTGTTAGTGACATGTTTGTAAATGTTTGTAAACCAGGAAATAATACTAATTCCTGTTTTACTCAATAGATTATCATGTCAAGAAACTGACGAATTATATTACTAGCTTTTATTAGATTTCGTCAGTATATTTTATTACTTTACAGTCTTTTTATTGTCTATTAGACCAACCTGAAATAAAATGAGCTGAGCTATAAATCAATGACAAGATAGTATGCCTAAAGTTGATATACCTTTAATATCATAAATACTGAGACTACAGAAGATAAGAAAATAGAGTTTAATAGTGAGAGACTCACTGTTATTCACTTTTAGTGCATAAATGTGTAATTTCTTTGAGATCTTTGGTAGAATACTAATAGTTTAGTCAATAGCATTTGTTCTTCACTATGAGTTATGGCAGCATAGCCACATTCGAGCAACCAAAAATAGATTTAGCGTATCTGTTTACATTGTTTAGTTATCATATCGTATCCACAATTACGTTGTGTAGTAGTGCAAACTGAAATCAGTCAATCGGTCACAAAATTTCGTCACTAGAACAGATAACTCAACATCTCAGTTTTATTAGATGGCTTAAGGTAACACTACCAGTGAGCCTTTGATCTAGGCTTTCTGTTAACTGCTGCTGCTCATTAACAAAAAGTCGACCTAATCTCAACAGAGCTGATAATTCATTTGAAAATGTCATGTCGAGTACAAGAATCAGAAATACTATTACCGAGTTATTCAAGCTGTGATTAACGTTGAACGAAACTGACATCTGTTTCTTTTGTGCAGCAATCCACTCTAGTATTGACCAGATTCCATGGATTAGGTAATTCAGTGAGTGTAAACTAGCTTGAATCTATGATTCAGTGCTTCCTAGAAACCTAATTATTTTTGACGCCAACAAATAATACTGAATTTAAAAGATTCACATGTTAAGCATCTACCATTCTGAGAATATTCTTCACAAGAATTTAGTTTCCAAAATATATATACACAACTTATGACTCAAAAGCCATAAATTATGTTCTTTCGAATCATGGACAAGTGATTTCAACTGTCAATATAAGTAGTACACCTTGGTAATGTTGAAACAATCTCTAATTAAAATACTTAGTTTCACAAGCCAAATTCATCCTAATGTTACCAACTTATTGAAGATGAATTTGAACGTAGTCTTCCAACTGACTCATATGAATGCAAATGATGACGAATAGTAGAGTTAGTGCACCTGAGTTCCAGTTACCCGCATTTTATAACCGACTCTTTAAAATTTCACCAATAAAGATTGCTCACTAGTGACTAGCTCCGTTAGGAATCTCGCTCGAGTTCTGGTGAGAAGTCATGACCAATGAAGTCTAACCTGTTCGGGTGTAGACAGTAACTACCGAAGACGGTGTGTGAGGTTGCACAATTCCGTGAATTGATCAAAGTTAGACACTAACACCATTAGATACCGGCTCAGTGGTCCAGAGGTTAGATGTCCGCGCGCAACACCAAAGGTCCTGGGTTCGAATCCTGCGAGGAGCAAGAGTCGTGGATATGCACTGCTGATGAGTGCCGACACCAGGACAAAACGGCCGTCTTTCCGTGCTTCCAGGTTTCTAGTGGTGGTCTAACTTTCATCAATTCATGATTTCAAATGTGTAACCAATAAACATATTGAATTATTTAACAAAATGTTTCACATTTTAAAACTAACTGACTCATCATCGATATTCAATAATAAATAAAATAAACTGAAAATAATTGAAAAATATCATTGAATTCAATCAATTGATATATGAATATGAATATATTATTTTCTTTACCTCGTTCAACTGGATCATAAAAGTAACCTGCTTCAGCTAAATTATTAAATGTATGCGTTTGTAAATCAGCTAAATATGCTTTAGCAAATGCTTGTGCAGTAACTTTTGTGGCTAATTCTTTTTCTTGTTCAACTACAGCCTGCACTTGAGCTTTACGTCGTTCTTTCTCTTCTCTGTGAAGTAAAACAATTGAAAAGAAAAAACAAGCTGAGTTTGATTAGCATGAAGATATTCCCCCCGCTCTAGTGTTTGTCACTTATTGATTGATATGCTTGTGTGTGTGTATGAATACAGTTCTACTTACAACTAGCAATGTTTGCAATGTCATAAGTAAGACGACAGCACAGTTAAAAACAGATCAAAATTTGTTACAATAATGTAAGAGTTTTCTTTCATGTATGTATATATATATATATATATATATATATATATATATATATATATATATATAAACTAAATCTTGGGTTATAATGCCAGTCAGTTATTTAACGTAGAACTTCGTAAGTACATACGTACATCAGTTCTGGTTTTCATATCACATTAGCACAGAGAGGCAACTGTCAGTTCAAATCTCATAGTGGTAGAGATAGTAGAAGTATTAGCAGTAACGGAGAAGACTTAGGTTCGAAGATTTAAAAAAAATTTGGCCTTGATGGTAGGTACTACTATTTTGTTTGTTTTCTCTTAACTAACTTCTTTCTATGTTGATGCAAAGTGTGCAATATGAACCTAGCTTAACTGTTTGAGATATTCTACTTTATTTATAAGTGAATAAAAAGTCTCTTATTGTCACTGTTAGGATATTCATCCAATATCCTAAAATAATTGTTTGTAAGTCCAATTCTGTTGGTCAATACCTTTTGGTCATCCTAACAATCGATGTCACTTCAAATGTAATTTCCTATTGGTCCACCTAACTTTCAATGTCACAGACTTCAAACTGTATAAATACGCATTATCTGTAATGTTTTATGACCCGGACCCCACCCGGATACTTAGTCCGGGATTCTCACCTTCTTCTGGACTCTGACCTCGTACTTTCTGGATGCTTGTTGAATACAGGTTCTACTTCATATCAAATCTTCTCCTTTTACTCAATGGGGGTTTGAGACGTTCGGATTTGCGTAGCCTGTCGTGTCGCCGGATTCTCGCTCTCGTTTACTGACTAAGATAAACTGGTACAATGCGGAACAGTCACATAGTTAAAAGAGAAATTACTCATCTTTCTTTCTGAGATTGTTTTTATGAATACTCTACCATGTGTTGTTATTCACACTTCATTTCCTTCATCTGTAATAACTTACTCGACAGAATATGAATTCTTCAATGGTTCAGCAAGTATCCGACATGTAATCAACTAGTGGGTGTAAAGATAATGTTAGCTGTGTTAACATCATTATGTTTGCACAAGTGAGAAGAAAGTCCGTTAAAACAAAATGTTGACTTATATAAATTTTCTCTAGTCATATTCATAGATGATTGTTCAAAAAGATATAGGTGAACTCAGTGAACCGGCTTGAAGATAATTAAGTGTATCATAAGTAAACTAGACTTAAGTGAACCAGGTGTTCCAGGCCACCGATATTGTTTACAACACTGACGTATTATATTTACTTGAATGTTAGTGATCCATGGACAGGAAGACATTCAGTTTGTTTTATGATACGTCGCCAATATATTACACTATCTAATGTTGTCTGGACACAGTTAAAATTCATTAACAGTGTCTGGTAGAATAAAGAGAGCAAGTTAATCATTTTGGAGTATAATGTAAGGTTTGAGATATTCAAAAATGTGCTTTAACAACAATTTCAACCTATTCAACACATGGTTATAAAACGTTGCTGCGTATTTCTGCCAATAGGAACAGTATTATTTATTATCTTCCTTAGAAGTTGATTCAATCTACTATTAATAAATCTGTTATTCGCATTATAGGGTTGTGGAGATTGTTGAGTTAGTTACTGAAATCAAGAATCAATCACTTTTAGACTACTATTAGAAATCTGGAACCACTGAACGGCCGTTTCGTCTAGGTATAGGACTCACCAGCACAGCGCATCCACGACAACTGCACCTCGCGGGATTCAAACCCAGGACCTTAGGTCTTGCGCGCGAAAGCCTAAACTCTGGACCACTGAGCCTGTATCTAATGGTGTCAATGCCTAACTTCGATCAATTCACGGTCTTGCACAACCTCATACACTGTTTTCGGTGAGCCCTGCTTCACACCCGAACAGGGTTAAACTCCATTGGTCACGACTTCTCACTAAGACTCGGAGAAGATTCCTCACGGAGCTAGTCACTTGTGAGCCAGGTAATTCGTATTGTGGGGTTGAGGAGATTGTTGAGTTACCTATCGAAATCATGAATCCATCAATGTTAGACCTGGGTTCGAGTCCTGATGAGTCCAAGCCTAAGACGAAATGGCCGTTTACTGCTTCCAGGTTTCTAATGGTGACCTAACATTGATTGATTCATGATTTCAATAATTCTATTATTGTTATTTTTTTGATCTGCAAATTTTTTTTCCCAACTTACTCTGTAAGTCTTTTACTTTCGGAAAGTCTAGCCACTTCTAAAAGATCAGCTTGACGTATTTCTTCAAAAGCATTTTGTTGAGCACGTATACTAGCTAATTCTTCTTCTTCCATAATTTCAAGTAAAGCTTGTTCAATTGTTTTACCAATTAAAACTTCTAATATTGGTGTAACTTCTAAATCGAAGTCAAAAAGCTAAAAAAGACAAATCGCATTGAATGAACTATTATCGATTGAAATTATCTGTAAATTAAATGTAAAGTAAAAAGGATATGAAATGATCTAAAAAAAGCGCATTCTTAAATGTGTTTGATCTATTTATTTGACGGTAATTCTAAAGTACTTGATGGTTGATTCCACTACGCGGATACAGAAAGCTCGATTTGCTTTTGCCAATTTACGCAGCTTATGGCGGAGGCGTGACATCTTTTCGCTGACCAAAGGACGGGTGTACTGCGCAGCAGTTCACATGGCCGTTAAGAAGAGAAGACATTCGTAGGTTACTAGTATTCGATCATAGATGTCTTAGAAGCATTGCTCGTATATCGTGGGACAATCGAGTAAGCAATGATGTTATTAGGAAACCAGTTCTAGGTAAGGATGGCTAATCAATAGATGAAGTGGTGACACTTCATCAGTTGAGGTGGTTGGGACATGTGTTACGTATGCTCAACCACCGACTGCCTCTACCAGCTATGTTTTGTGGTGTAGGAGTAGGTTGGAAGAAAGTTAGGGGTGGCCAGACCAAAACATGTCGGAAATCCATGAAGTCACTGACAAGTGGACTGAGTCATGTTGGTAGATAGATGTAGACTACCTGGTTAGGGTCCACGAGACGAAAGTCACCAGTGGTTAGAGACCTTGAACGACATGGCTCAAAATCGTTTGCAATGGCTTAAGTGCATCCATTCGTTGTGCTCTCTCAAATCGTAATCTTCTGGATTCGTCAGCACCTCTACCTTTGTCTTTATAACCTTATCTCACTGAATTATACTTCTTGAATAATATCTTCAAACCCTAGTCTTCTTCATTATCATTAATACCTCTACTATCTCTATCACTATGGGATTCGATTTGGCATTCGCTTCTGTGTGCTAATGTGGTAATGGCAACCTGAACTTATGTACATACGTACGAAGTTCTACCTTGCAACTGACTAACTGACAACTGCGTATTTGTCATTTTCAATAGTGAATTTTTATCTGTCGGATAGATATATCATAGATGTTTTTCTCTTTTTATTCTTTCAGTACGATTGTCAAATGATCAGAGTGGAATATTTCTGTATAGTTTCAAATTCATAAATCATATCTAACAATTTTCTAATACGAAGTAGTAAGTTTCTGGGTTAAGTGACGTTTAATTTCGAACGGTGTGTTCTGTATGTATAAGTCAATGATTGAAAAAAAAACAGTTTATGAAATGATCTGTTTGATTTTGTTATCAAAAGAAGACATGACTTGATGAAGTAATAAAAATGGAAGAGGATCGGAAACAATATTTTCTCCTACTTATTAAAAATACAATTACGACTTCAACTACCGTCATATCCACTCCCTTTGAATGTCTGTCAAATAAAACCAAAGTAACAAGGTTTCTATGTTCGTCACTGTATGAAAGATACTATAATATGACCTGGGTCCGAAATCATGCAATCTCTAGACTGGATTCAAACGGGGCATGGTTATAAGCAGATACACAGTGCTTGACCACAAGAGTGGAACCGAGAAAATGGTCTACATAATACAATATGGGCTTTCTACAACACTCAATGAAGTACAGGACAGAATCGATAAAAGGGAAAGAAATTACAATAACAATAGAGAATCTACACTTAAGAAAGCAGGGTGTCCATCTATCTTCTCTCACTGGGCAATTATTTCTTCCTTTGATTGGTCTCTAATAGTTCATTGTTATGTGACACATCCGTTTCTCTGAGCAAGCTCATTTTAAATCACTAACTCGGAATCCTAATGCTTGAACTGATGTTAGCTAACAGCCAAAACCATTTTCATAATAGTGGTTACTGCCTACACCCGATAGGGCTAAACTCCACTGGTCACGGCCTTTCACTAGAACTTCAAGAATTTCCAGTGCTTCCAGGTTTCTAATGGTGGTCTAACAACGATTGATTGATGATTTTAAATGTGTAAAAACACTAATCTCCATAACCCTAATTGAAAATATCTTTAATGTTTATGAATACTGACTGATTAATGATAGTTTGTCCGTTAAATTCTATTGACTTCCTAGTAAATGTTAAGAATAAAACTGATAACTTACATCTCCTTCATATATTTGAGTCATGACATCGACACCAACTTTGGCCGGTACATAAAGTGGAGTAGGTGGTCTGTCAAGAAAATCGTCCGTTTGACATTGTTCATCAGCTTCGATAATATGCTCGGTGAGAGCCTCCAAGTAAAGTTCTGTTTGAACTGGTTGATGAAGTCTACCATCTAAAGGTATTGGGGATTTCGGCCTGAGCTAGTTTTTTATTTTTTTGACAGAGACGAAAGTATCAAGCATTAAATTATTTGTGAATCTATAAAAATTAAAAACCATTTTGAATATAACAATTAAAACGAAACTAATCATGGAAACTGGAATTGTTGAGTTTTGTAACTTGTATGGTTAGTTTGATGTATGGTTTGGTTTTAGAGAAGTAAGTATATGGGTAGGTTGATTTTCATGGTGCGTAAATGAGGTAATAATAGAATTCAAGAAACCTACCAGCTGTTAGCTTCCTAATTCAGAATCTATAAATTTATTTAGTTTTATTTTGAAAGTAACTACAGATTTTACTGATTTCCAGAAATTATATCAGGTATACTTTTGGATACTGAGAGGTCTTATTATGCAACACATAAAATAGAAGTGGCTACTAAGAAAATACTTGAAATTCTACTGTCATTGGATTAACAAGTCAACAGCAGATGCATATTGATCAAAATTTTCACAAAACAATTCCTAGTGGGTTAGAGGATTATGTTTCATCTGTTGTATCTTAGAAAAGGCGTATTCAGACTAATTCTACTGGTATTATCGCTTTGTTATGGTCATAAAACTCTTAGACTAGGGAGAGAGCTGAACTCCGTGTGTACGTTAATGTACTACATAGTTATGAAATAAGTCATTTTCTTGTTTAAATTATTCAAATGTATTTGAGGGACTAATTACTTTTAAAAAAATAGATGTTATTATTTTATCAGAAAGTTTCAATAGCATAAACCAGTGAGAATAGACAATTTGGTAAAGTACTAACGTTTTCTTGCTATTCAACAAAAGAACTCAGAACAAAATAGTCAGGAAGATATTTATGCCTTAGGGATCAAATGCTTATTTGTTCTATGTTGCATCTATTAGAAAATAGTAGTTTCTTGTTAATCGAACAGTAAGTTGGCGTTTTCTCTCGTGATGATTATTTAAGTTACTTGCATGTACACCTCTACAGACTTACACGTAATATGACATGCATAAATCGGTCAAGAGCAGCATTTAAATAGACTGAGTGTGTACGTGCTTATGTATTCTGATTTTGATGTGTCATGCAGCCTGTGATCACCCGTTAGAATCCTATGTTCATCAGAAGACTTCTTCCTCGATAATACTTGTCCTTAAAGTTAACTTGCATTATGGATAATGAAATTATGGCAAACCATTTGACTCCAACGATAATGATGATGATGATTGTATGGGGATGTGAAAGTAGCTTCTGCAAAGTACTTACGATGTCGGATATAAACCGGACGCAACAGTTCTACGATAAAACGAAATTGAGTTCTCAATTCATTTAAAATTGAAGATCAGACAATGGAATGCATGGATTCAAAGCTAGAAATACCTTCCCGTCAATGTGTTATTAATTATTTTGTGAAATGCACCGCTAAATCTCCATAGTTTTATTAGCTTTGATATCTTACCTAAGTTTTCCTAACATTATCAAGCCTTTGTGACAGATTAACATTGTAGAGAGTAGCTTAAATACTGTATATTTTTAATGCTTGTTTATCGAAAGTTTTAGAATTAGGTAATTCTGTGGTTACCTTTTGCGTAGCCCACAAAGATAAATTCTAAAGCAATGTTTAAATGGCTTTTTGAAATAAAATGACAGTTACAGAATGTGAAGAAAAGTTAGCGAACATAATTGTTTTTAATTAGAAAATCAAAATTAATTTTATCTTAGTCTTTTCCGTGCATTTTGAAGAAGGGCAGTAATTTCCATACCTCTCGTAAATCATCTTTTGTTTTTTCCTGATATAATATCAGGATCATTCTCGCTTACTTACTTACTTACTTACGCCTAATACCCCTAATGGAGCATAGGCTGCCAACCAGTTTTCTCCAACCAACTCTGTCCTAGGCTTCCCTTTCTAGTTATTTCAAGTTTTTGTTCATTCTTCTCATGTCTTCCTCTATTTGTCGACGTAATGTATCACTTGACCTTCCTCGTTTCCTTTTACCTTGAGGGTTTTAAGTGAGGGCTTGTCTTGTGAGGCAGTTTGGTGCTTTTCGCAGTGTGTGTCCTATCCATTTCCACCGCTTCTTCCTGATTTCCTCCTCTACTGGAATCTGGTTTGTTCTCTCCCACAGTACGTCGTTGCTGATAAGGTCTAGCCAAAGAATCTGGAGTATTTTGCGAAGACAACCGTTCATAAATACTTTTATCTTCTGGATGATGGCTTTGGTAGTTCTCCGAGTTTCCGCTCCTTACAGTGGAGGATCATTCTTGTTCTAGTTCAATTTGGATTATTATGGTTAAAATTCGAATTTTTTTTCACATTCTTTTTGTGGTACTTTAATTTTAGTTAGTTCTTACACCAGTTAGTATTTTGTTTGTCCTGTCAAATTTTATCCTTAAATTTGCTCTAAATGGTTAGTCACTCATTCGGCCGAGGATATTTCTCGTCTAAATATTCTCCCACAGTTAGCTAGTAGTAACCACACTGTTATGCCATTAATTTTCTGGGCCTGTGACATGGCATATGATCGGATTTGACCTTGCCAAAATGTGGTAAGCAAACATAAAATCCGTACAGACGTTTTTTGCAATAACCAACTGGTCAGTAATTGCTGGCTCATCAACTGAAGAAACATGGCCCATTTTTAAAGGTGCATTTAGTTCACGTACATCCTCCTTTATACTGTGCTTAGTACCATGTACACCTAAAAGTTACTCACAGTGGATAAATTCAAGTTTGAAGAAATTTCTTAAACATAGAGGTCTGTATGATTAAGAATGCAGGCGAAGCCCTGATAGATAAGGCTAGACTTTCGTATGGAAAATGGTTGGAAAAGTTTCTTTACATATATAAGCAGGCAAATTCAGATGTGTAATAACATTCCGAGTATTTTAGTATGATTTTTTCTGCTAACCATTGAAAAAGACTAATCATTAATTAAAATAACGGCGGCTTATCGATGAGTCCTTGGGTTACTGAAAAAGAAGTTGTCTTACGATTATCTTATCATGTAAGTGGTCCTGACGTTCTTCATTCTGGGATTGGAAAAGCCTTACTGGGTTCAACTGCCGAACTTGAGGAACTACTGTTTTATATATATGAGACAGTATAAACGACTCAGACATCGGAAAAATGCCATTGTTGGTTCGGTTTATAAAACGGGGTGTAACGACATAGTTAGTAACTATTGATGCAATGATATAACCAGCGTAGTTGTCAAACATAAGGAAAAGATTGTTCAGATGGTTTTTCTAAACTGCACGAAAGGACATTTTCTTTTAACCATAACAAAACATGGTTTCACTAAAGGACTTTCATGATTGTCAAGTCTTCTTTTTGCAAGAAAAGATTGTATGACAGTGAAGGATAGAAATATTCCGTCAGATGTTATTCTCATCGGTTTAAGTACAGTCTTTGATAAGATCTCTCAACAAGATCTCAAAATAAAACTGAAAAACCTTGGAATCCATCATGAGATCAGAAACTGGGTAAGTGACCTTCACAGTGAAGAGCCTGTGACTGACTGACTGTGAGAAGCAACATCCGGAATAGATATATGGGACCTTATCAACATGAAAATCTGTAAAAAGTGGATTTCTCCAGACTATAATCCTCGGAATCCTTTTTTGCTATATATTTATGCTTTTTCAATGGTAGTTTTTTTCATCTGTTTTACTCTATCGACGACATTAAAAAATACGAACCCGTACACCATATCAGATGGTATAATATCACAAGACGACCGAAATTGGATCGATGTATCAAAAGCAGTTTAAGATAATCCCAACAAGAGTGTAGTGATGTATGTAAACAGTTGTGGCGATTAATATAACTATAAAAGTAGTAGATTATAAGGATCAATAGTCAATAGTGAGAAACCTTCAAATTACAAGTCGCTAGAATGCTTTCAAACGCGTCAAGGTTTTATGGGTTATTCGTAACTCGCTTTATTACTTCGGCAAAAAATGTTTAAGTTGCTGTGTTCAGCATTTAGGTGGCTGCACCTGGAATATGAAATTCGAGCAATAGGTCCCGGTTCTGAATATGAAGCAGATATTTTGGACTAGTTAGAGCCAGAGAACAAAATGTTGATAGGGTCTCACTGATACATTCAACGGAGATAGGTCTAGACATCTCAACCTATTTTTATTTCAAAATAGGGTTCTAAGTAACTCAACACTGAATCACAGTATAGTGAAAGATGGATTTAGTGTGCATGTGTCGTTCCTCTTGCTGTCATCTAAGAGTGATTATTTAAGAGCACATAATGAGAAAGTTCAAAAAGCGAGACCAAACAGTTTACATGTGAACTTCCATTTTCCGAATCAATGGAGAATTAATAAAACTCTACCAGAACACAAAATATTAGCGCCTTTGATTAATGCATCCGAAGAAAACTTGCATCTTCATAGTACTAAAAAATATCAAGGATTACTAGAGAACGACTGATTTCTCGTTGTAAAAAAATGGCCAAATATGAAGATAGGAATGTCGTTTTGCCTGTCAATGAGCAAAAGGTCATTTTTTAGGAATTATTTCACCTTATTCATCTCGTTTTTTGGTCAAATGTAGTAAGATTCAATAAAAATAAAAATTAGTCGAAATGGATACTCTTAAGTGATCTCAATCCCTAAACATTCAAGCAGGCTTTTTACCTGCCTTTCATAGGTAATGCATTAGAATAACGTGAATGACTTTAAAAAAACTAAAGCATACCTCGTCACGCATACGACGGCGAGCGACTGCATCACGTTTCTTTTCGATTTGCTTCTGGATTTTAATGGGGTCAGGCTGAGCGTGTGCAGGCAATACATGCAGAGCGTATGTGTTTCCTCTTATTACTCTCCTATCGTACATAATATTTCCATAGTTATAGTTTGTATCTTCTCTGATCTAGTAAAAGCATTGAAGATATTTTAATTACATATTATCTCTATAAATTCTCTTCCTTGAAACCACCTTAGGCTGACTAGCAAAACTGTACATCCCTTCTGTATTTCTTGCAGGGATAACACTTGTCATAATATTTAACTGTAGTAAATACTATTTTTGAAAATGAAAATGTACAGTTGCTATAGTTCAAGGCTATAATCAATATTCAGTATCTTTGTCACGACCTAGTAAACACAAACTGATTTCTTTGCCCTCGACTCTTGTTTTTTCAGTACAGTTCCAAGTATTTTTTTGTATCCGAAGAACAGTTGTTCAGCTACTCGATTTCACTAATTCTAGTTAGCAGACAGTTATTTATATCGCGTGATATGCGTAAGTGCATAGTTCTCAAGTCCAATATCTTTTTCACGAGCTAGTGTAAATCAATTGATTCCTTTGCGCTCGATTCTTGTTCTTGCGGCATGGTTCCAGGTGTTCGGTAATGTCCAACGGATGGAGGTCTAGCCATTCGACTGTATAATTCCGGTCAGTTGGCAGTTGGTTGTGAGTTTGTATGTCTCGGGATTTCAATGAAAACGTCTGTTTCAGAGGATTAGGGTTTCTGGATACCAGCACCTGTCACTTTATCCGACCAGAGGTCAGTTAGTTGCAGTGTGGAGACCAATAAGGAGAAATTCTAATGCTAATAAGAAGAGGATTTCAGAACTAATTGAATAAACAGATAATTTAGTTTGTTAATTGACAGTAAAGATTGTGCGAGAGGACCGCAGTGTGAGCAAGGGAGATGAAACTAAGATAACAGAAGAGGCGGTTGGTGGTTAGGCATACATAACACATGTCCCAACCACCTCAACTGATGAAGTTTCACCACTTTGTCTGCTGACCTGCCATCCTTACCTAGCACCCCTTTCTTATCCAAAGCATTACTTACTCGGCTGTCCCATGATACAAGAGCAGTGCTTCGGGGACACCTATGATCGAAAAGCGGCAACCTCCGAATCTCTTCCATTCTCACTGGCCATGTTTCACAGCCACAAAGTCGGACTGCACGAATTGCTGCGCAGTTCACTCGTCCTTTAGTCAGCAAACGGATATCTCGCCTTCGCCATAGGTAACACAGATTGGCGGAAGCCAATCGAGCCTTCTGTATCCATGCTGAGATTTCGCCAGTCACCAGACCATCAGCACTGATGAGACTCCTAGGATAAGTGAAGTGGTCAACATGCTTAACTATCCATCACTAGTTCAGGTGCCGATACAAACCATCTAGCAAGTCTCAAGACATGCATCAGGTGCAGCCTTTCCACGAAGGGGATGATAGTCCGCATGTGGGTATGTTTTTACTGAGTCTTTTCTTAAAGCTTCTCACTGAGGGGACTGTGGTCACCTTAGCTGGGAAAGCATTCCAAGTTGCAACGACTCTTAGTGAGAAAGTGCGCAGGAACTTGAGTATTCTCTCTTCGATGCGCGATTTTCTAGGATTCCCCCGAGCGAAGTGGTGGTGATGCATTGGTAATACTATCTCGCCGGGATGGTTTGGCGTGCTTAATATGTTGTATGCCATATTCAGTTTACCTCTGATAGTCCTGAAACTCAGCGGAAACAATATCAAATCCTGGTGTCCATCTTCGATTTATCTTTCAGCCCTATCACCAATTTCGTTGATCGTCTCTGAGCTCAATCGGTTGTTCAATGACATAGGTTTAATTAGTTACAATTAAATACAGAGTCGCTGGTTTTTACTGACAACCGACAGGCAACACAATTATCCTTGTGTTATTTCTGAACAGGATGCTGTGTAATTTGAGTTTGAGGACAACCTTTTCTCCTGATTTTTTGCCTGTTAGTCTTACCAGAATTCGGAACCTAAGAGGGAGTGTCGTCCTGCTTTCTTTGCTAGAGACTCAGTGGAGGTGTTGAATCAACTGATGAGAGATAAGCACATTACTACGAGGTTCATCATCGAATGATGTTATATATTTTTTTTCACAATTTTATATCTGTAGACTGGAATTTTCGTCCCAATGCTAACCCAGAAACCCATACCTCAACTAGTTTTTATGGTCTTTATAGTGTAAGAACTATTAGCGACGCCTTTACTTAATATATTACTAAATAGATTTAGGAGCAAATAAGAAGATAATTTGAAGCGAAAAATACGCAAGATACAAGTTTTGTGAGAAGAAAGTAATTATATTAAATAGAATGAATATATGTATTACTCAGGAATAGAACTTGAAAGACAATTAAAAATGCATCCTCATATTGAACCGTCCTAGCAAACATCTCCGCGTGTATACAGTAAATTTTTCACGAATCCTGTGTTAACTGATGAATGAATGTTAGTTTTCTGCCACTGAATTAACTAGGAAGAGAGCAGTTGATTGAAACAGCCAGACTTGATGCTTCGCGCTTCCAACTTGATTTGATAACGTTTGTCTGATTTGTTTTCTTAACTGTATACCAGTGGAGATAGGAAAAAATCATATCATGGAGAGTATTTAAATATATCGATGGCGAGATTTCAACGAGGAAAAGTCAAATTTGACAAGCGCACAGTGGTATCTTTTTTACTAGACAGAATAAACCAATTGACTCCTTTGCGCTCGCTTTTTGTTGTTTCGACAAGGTCCAAGGTATTTCGGTAAATGAACCTAGGCAAAATAAACAAGTTTAAAATCATATTATATAAATACTATTTACAGAGATTTTAATTGCTAGATGAAGTTTACATTTCAAAACTCAATTTGCACTTCAGTTTGAATACAATAAATCATTAGAGGTAACATGGTTGCTTTGTAAATAATCATAACTGACAACTGCACATTTTATCTGGTATCTTTTTGCCAAGCCTATGCAGGCTATGTTATTACTTTTCATACATTTCGTGTTGCTTCAGTACCATATCAGGTAGTTGGTAATGTCTAATGACTGATAGTTTAGTCACACGACTGAACTTATCCTAGTGTGTAAGTCATTCTTGGGCTTGTATCTCTCGTCAATTTGGTGTGTGCATTTGCCTCGGGGTAGTATGTTTCAACAATTTTCCATAAATTTGGTCATATTATTTCGGATGGTAATGTTTAAGGTCCATAGATACCTAGGTCAGTTGTCCATGTCGATGGCTGACGGCCTACTCGATTTTAACCGATGTGGAATGATCTGTATCATACATTAAAGTCACTCCTCACTAACAATGGTTAAAATGTCGTCATATCCGGATGACTTATCGGTGAGAATACTCTCACCAGGTAACAATAAGTTTTAGTTTTTCTAACTGTCAGGAGTACTTAGCGCAATCCTTGTTACGTGCGCCTGTTCACGATTTATAATAGACTGATGCTCTGTGGTTGTCATTGGCCTTGACGAAGTTTGGTAAACTGCATGGCATACATTAACAGGCATGTCAGATGAGTTAGTTTGGACCCCACTGCATTTTTATTCCCCATACAGATCATTTGTGCGTGTGTAATAAATGCTGCATTGACTCAAAAAACAAGGATCAGGAATTGCTGTTTTTGAAGTTTTTCTTTTAGTGTTGGAACCATGTATTATTTAACCACAAAACCTTTACGATATCCAAAACAATGGTATGGTAAAGTAAGGGAATGTTGAATTCAAAATAGGATGCCTAACATTTTGGAGGGGGTCCGGGAGCTTTCTCTAAAACTCATTTTTCACCTTGTTTGAGCTGCAGTTAGTGGTAGCGTAGCCAGAGGCTACGAAGAGGTGATGGCGAGTGACCCTATCTTTCTAAATCCTACTGTACCGTTTGCTTGAAAAGCGCACAAGCGACTGTCTACGGGTAGGAGGGCGGATATTACTTCCCGGCTTTTCATAACGTGGAAGTGTTTCTTCAGGAATCTAAAAAGAAAGGTAGGTTATTGTTTGTCTTAATGACGTGATAGCGTGACCGCAGAGCTCAAGGGACAACTGCTTGGGGCCAGTCACGCACGGCCTTTTCCTAAGAAGTTTTTGAAGTATTATCTCGGCTCCTAATTAAAATGCCTTACTGCCGGAGACGGAAATACGTGAGGTGGGGTGAGGTTTGCTATTTTTGGGGTTGACCTTTTCTAACCCCTTCCTTCCGTGTGAGAAGGCAGCATCGTTGTATATGCTGTCACAACCCTCTACAGACAGCAGTACTGTAGTGAAGAAGAACACAGGTGGGGCAACCGAATTATATTTAACGAAAATTACAGAGTTACTCAGTAAAATAGGAAAACCATATCGTAAATCGTTCATTTGCAAAAGATCAGTTCATCCTATGGAACTGGACTGTTCCTGTTGCCAAACATCAATCCATTGTCACTATTCATGCGTTTCATACAAATTCCATTGTGTTCCAACTCTTCCTTTCTTGATCTTCCTCCATCTTTAGCTGCCAGACATTACGTTTACACTCACGTCATTTACTACTTATAAGTAGCTCTCACCACTGTACTACTTCTACTTCAAAACTTGAGTTTCTGCTTTTATTCTCACGGCTATCCAGTCAACCTACAATAAACGAAATTTCGAAGAGGAAACACCACATGATAATCAAATAACTAAGCGATGAGGAGAATGGCACAGAAAACATGATTGAATGAATTTACTGAAACCCACACAAGTATCACAGCTCAGTAGGATTAACTGATTGGAGCTACACTAAGTTCCAGATGAATGGAAAAAAACTAGTTCCTATCAAACCTTTAAAGGAGGAGATAGGAAGGATTGATTCATATAAAAGCCAGCTGTATTACTACCAATGCTGTCAAAGGTAGTGGAAGGACTACTGAATGAGCAATTGAAGGAGTGCATGTATAAGAACAACATACTCCATGAAGCTCAACGAGGGTTTATAAAATGCGGGTTGTGTGTATTCAATCTTCTGAAAGCATGAGACACCTTGAAAACCTGCTGGGATCAAAGACCACCTGTTCATTTATTATTCCTTGACTTGGCAAAAGCTTTCGACACAGAACCTCACATACTTCTAATTGCAAGAGTTGCAAAAATGAGCTTTACGGATGGATTTCTATTTTGGCTCTGATACTTCTTAGGAAATAGAAAATTTCCTACCAAAGTGAATAAAGTGTACACGATCTGGTGAATCCCAGCATCTTGAGATTAGCAGGGGACAGTCTAAGTTACGACCCTCTTACTAATATTTATGAACGACT